TACGGTCCCAAAAGGACAACTCGATGTTTGGCACATCGAGCTCGTGACATAGGTTAGTAGATTGAAAAAAATCAAGAAAAACTGCTTATCCTATTTCCTGGGGCATAATGCAAATTCCTTCCAGGATCGCCGCGACATCGCGCGCGAAAAGCGACACCGCAACAACTTTTCTGAATTTTTTGCCCAGTTTATCGTCCAATTGGTTTTTGCCTCCTACTGATTTTGATCAAATAAGGCTAAAAGCAAACAAAAAACACGCAAAAGTAGGATGAGGAAGAAACATGCGTGGCTGCATAGGTGCGGGTTATTGCACGAAATAAGGTGTTCTGTAATATCAAGAGTTCCTGAAGCAGTACAGCGCGTAACTCCGCCACTGTGGTGACTATTTGCGGCCAGAAAAGATTAATTGATTGCAAAGCATAAACCCCAACAAAACTCAATACCGAAGAAGTTAGGCAAGCGGGTAAGGGGTGCCACGGTGACTCAAAAGTCGTTTGAAACGCACAAATTCAATCAAGAATATCACAAAGGCTGTCTACTTCCCCTTTTCAAAGCAGCTGAACACTTCAAATCTCTTTTCATTCTGTTCTCCTGTGTATGTTCCACTCGACCACGCAGTCCACTTTTTCAGAATGGTGACGTCATTTCTCCCGATAAATGCCTGATAGGATGATTACTAACCGTTTACTAGTCTCTCGGTAGCGGATCGAGCCACTGTTTGGGGTATCTGAGACATCTTTCCGGGAATTCGTGCACCCCACCGTCACCATGCACGCAGTATGTCCCTTGGGAAGGGTGGACATATCTAATCAGGTCATTCAGAGACTTTATTGCCGCTTTACAAAACAGAATTTCTCAGCCATTGGCATCGACGAATGCTACGGAAAAGCCAGAAAAAAGGGTCAACTCAAAACTGCTCAAACTTCAACAAAATGAAACTTCCGAAAGACTCTAGAGCACTGCCTAAATGAGAACATCACGAAAGAATTGATGAGTCCTTCATGAATTCTCTATTCGACAAATTCTTCATGGGTTCCCACTTGAAAGTAGGTTCGGGCACATTCTAATGGTTGCCGCTGGCAGCAACTATCCGATACAGCTGAATATTCTCACCGGGACCTGTACCTACAAGGTAACCAGCCCATCCCTCCCCCGAACTTCCTCATCGCTCTGATGTTTTTCGCGGAATCTCCCTGCCGGCTTCGAATCCCTGAGCTGACAATCAATGAGAACCCCACCTGTTTGAGGGGACTGACAGTTTACTCAGGCGAGAAACTGAAGCTCTTTGCAAGTTGCAAAAAAACTTCCTCCACACACTCAAATGTACTTACGAAACTGTGAGAACAACAAAAGCATTACGCTCAACAATAAGGCGGAGCCTTAAGCCCATGAGTAGCCCTGAAGCATTCAAGCGAAATAGCTAGAACCAGGAAGTAATGGGTCAATACTTTTCGCGCTAATATGAGCACTCATCACAATGCAAATTCCCTCAAAGTGCAAGAGAGAAAGCATGGCAGGCCTCGAACTCGACATTACAACCTGGCGCGTCAAAAACATCGGCATGCGCAAGACCTGTGGCAGAAAAGAAGCGCTTCGAAGAGTAAAGGCAGATATGGAATCAGAGCCGTGGAAAAAATCGCGAAGGAATAATGGCCACTGACACTACTTAACGAAGAAGGTGGGAAAAAATTGTCAAAAACTTTCGCCCAGAATAAGGAAGCGACATAAAGTATTCAATAAGTCATGTGAAGCAAAAGTGCCAGAAAAGAAAAAAGCAAACAAAAAAGAAGAGGAGGAAGAGTTAATGACAGAAGGGAAGAAGGGAACAAAGAAAGAAAGTGTTGTGCAAAGCTTTTGTGAGAACAGCTTGAGGAGAAACAGAAGTAAAGAAGACTGCAATGTAATAGAAGCAAGCACTAAACATCGGATAATTGAAACCAACTTGCTCGCGGAGGGAGGAGATAGATCACTTCGACAGGTCACCATTACCACGATAGGTGAAGAGAAAGCGTAAGCACTGTTAAAACGTATCTTTGATGGAGGCAAGACAAGAGAACAACATCAACTCCCTCATTTGCAGGCCTCAACTGTGTACCGATTCGCAATCATAACCGCGGGAGACGACTCATGAACGCTGGAGAAAAACGGGGGACTGGCCTCACATTCCACAGCCGAACCCCCCCCCCTCGCAGGGGAAAACAGAGGAAAATATGGAAGAAAAGTAATGCACGATCTACAAATCACGTCAAGCGAGTGCCGAATTAGCTTTTTGGACCAAAGGACACGTGTTTGGCACTTGCCTGCTTTTTTCAACAGGGAGCCAATTAAGGTCTTACGGAAAAACAAGAATAATCTACTACAATGAGACTATGGCGCTTTTGAACGTTCTACGAGTTATACAGTAACCCTACTCGAAAAAACGGCCTGTCCCCACACAACTAATGAAGAATCTCGCTTATGTCCAGAACCCGAAAAGCACCTGATTGATCTTCTAAGGGCTCCTGTCGGTGAAGGAGAGGGGGGGGGGGGGGGAGAACTAAAGGGCTTTCTGTGGAAGAGAGACTGCTCATGAACAAGATGGATATCTTTAGCGAAGCCGAGTGAGAAAAGGGTTGTGAAGGACACGAGGCACGTCCTGCGCAGGGTGAAATTTTATGATCGCGACACGCCCCTCCCCTCGCACAAGTGGAGGTTAGCTCACCGAAGTGAGACCGAAACTTAACTATCAAAACGTTTTTTCGAAGTCAAACACGACCCCTGCTCCCCCCCTCCTCGCTCGGCCGGAAACACCCCTCTCGCCCAGGGTAAGGACGTACGCCTGTAGGAACGAAGTTCTGCACGAAAAAATACTTCGCAAATGCCACACTTCCCTGGCCAGCTTGCTCCATATAAGACATTTTCGATAGTTCAACGTAAAGGCCTACCCAACGTGCGTCCGGATCCCTATACGAACACCATTCCTCGGCTTTCCATGGATATCTCAATGGCCAGATTGCATCCAAGGTTCGACGAAAACTTGTCGACATATAGCATTAGAGACCGACGCGGAACAGTTGTGAATGGAAAGATAAGACGAGAAAGGTGTTGGGCTATCTGCCCGTCAATTGGAAGGAATAGCTTTGAAACAACAGCGTCGACAAGCAGCTGAATCACCTGCTGCTGTTCGTTTCCTACTATTGAATTCTTGCGCGTTACGTAGAAATGAACAGCGGCCGACCAAATTAAGGCCCACGACAACGTTGCAACTGAAGAGTTGAGTTGACAGCTTTCCTGTGGGACGAATACTCGGGGCGACAATGTCAATTTCATGTCGACTTCCCAATACTGCCACCTCGTTAATATTCACGAACCGGCCCGTCACGAACCATCTCTGCACTTCCATCACTTTCCATACTGACTACAAATCATAGCAATAAATAATTCGATATTGGTTAGTGGTACCTGGGACAACTATCACAAAAAAGCAATAGTTAACTCTTTATTTTCAATAATACTATGCTTATCACAATGCATTTGTTCACCGAAATCCAAATGAGGCACAAACTTGCAATTGAGACCGGGAAACGGAAAACGCCGCTGATGTAGCAGAGGTACACAATTCGTCACGTCTAGATTAAGGAATAGGTGGGGTGTCGTTGACGTCACCAACTTTGTCAATGACTTGTCTTGGCGCGTTAGGTAGCGTTCAGACTTCGCGACGACGGTGACGCGCTGTAACGCGCTAAACTGCAGCAGCGCTCTAATGCTAGAGACGCGGACGCGGCTGCAGACGGGATTTGATTGGCGCCGGCTGCCAATGTTTTGAGAGAGTATGCGGAGTAGAGCAGGTGCGCGTGACCTAGTCGCGCAGGCTGGTATCGATCGGATCTGGTCGTTAGTGATTTGGGAGAGTACAGATGAATAGGAGAGTACCAGATTGTGTGGAGGCTGCGCTCTCACTCCTGTTATCCTATGCTCTCTCAAGAAACGAACGGTCAACGCCGATTGAATCCCGTCTGCGGCTGGGTGCGCGGAATGGGGCGCAGGCAAGTTGCAGGGCGTCCATGCGCGTCATCGCGAAGTGTGTCTTACTGACAATCATACAATACAGGTTTCTTCGTCAATAACCAGTCATGTAACGTCAATGGCACGAGTAGCGGACCTCTGCTGCACCTGCGCCAAAACCATGGAAAATCGGAATTTCAATAATAGAATCGGTCAATTTTGATATAATAATTTGATTAGGGAAATATAATAAAAAATCTGTGATAATTGTCAACACACAATAACAACTACCTGACACTATGCACTACAGCTACCTAAATAATGCCCTATAAGGGTTTACTAGAAGACTTATTAATGAATAGAAACAATCAACACGAACTTATCTATCTTGAGCTTTAATGGGATTTATGCTAACTGAGATAATAACAAGGCTTTTCTGAGCATATTTCTTTCAAGATAGTTCCTAACTCTCGGCAGGAAGTTCATAATAGACACTTTGAAGTGAAAACAAACTTAACTAACCCTATGGCAACTTTTATGGCGAAGGTAATTCGAGGGGGGCACGAGTATACCCTGCCATGTCTTGTCTGACCAGGATTACACATACTTTCCTCGGTGAGGGGACCAAGACAAGCGGGCGTGATGTGGCATAAGCTGGCACCTGTATCCGATTAGCTCCCCAATAGAGTTGCACAAAACTACTCTCGCTAGGACAGCACCAGGCAGTAGGATAACATAAGAGAGATAAAGGAAACTTGCATGAATGCTAGGAAGATCGAACATCAATCAATGAAGACGAAAACATAGCCTAAGTTGGAATTTATTATTCTTCGCACCACTCCTTCAACACAGACCACCTCTCAGCAGGTGGTCTACCGAAAAACTCCATTTGCGTGACTGAATAGCGTTTACGTGGCCCTCCAAAGTCTCTGAAAGATTGGAACGTTGAAGTGTGTACGAATTTGCATGCTTAAATCAAATTGGCATGGGTAGAGCACAAAAATAGGTTGGATTGCTCCCATGGGGCACAAAAGTATTCAGCGACACTTTTGCGGGACATCTGTGAAGTTGAAATTCCTAAAACTAACTTGCTTTGATTGCAGCAGCTGTAGAGCTTACAAGGATTTTGGAGTTGGACCTGTTAGTTAACATGAGCTAACCAAGGGAATCAGCAAAAAAGCGTAATGCACCCCCCTCACTAAGTCGAACAGCACAAAATATTATAGAATAAGTATGGCTGATCAATGTCTGGAACGAAAGGCGATGGAGCGCCGTCTGTGACAACCACGCGATTCCCGAGTCGTGCGACTGAATCGCTCAAAGGCAGTTGGTACGATGGTTTCCCTACTTAGCCTAAAATGCTAGTAGGACGCTGTATAGTGGGGAAATGGCGAAAGAACGGAGTGAAACGGTCAAAATCCTGCGAAGAAAAAGCCTCCGTTCTCAGTGACTTGAAAATCGATTTCGGACGGTACGTACATTGCATATCGCTAGCGAAGTACGCTGCATGTCTGTACTCATATATTCATGCAGGCAATCACGGCCGCTTCATACCAATCCTTTCGCTTCATAATTTGCTTAGCAAATGAATGAATACGAGCGTCAGGAACGGTCGTCCATTTGTGGGCGGGCGGGCGTGGCGGGCGTTTGGGACGTAAAGTTGTGGCTTGATAGGGCCCTTATAAGGGCACCTTCCTCGGGGAAACCGCTATGCAGCGCCTGCCCAGGGTCGCGGAATTCTATCCTGCCAGGAGTATTGATCCTAGTCGTCTTGGGGGATTTATCGTGCCAACTGCCTTTAAGCCGCAAAATATAACCTTTTTCCGTTCACAAGGTCATGCCTCAATGGGACGCAAAACCAAAAACTAAGAAAATCAAGTTCTTTCAGCAAGGCATCAAAAACCAACCGAAATCCGGAATCCTTCCAGTTATAATTGAATTTCTCCAGTGCATCACGAATTTCCTCAGTGGAGTGAAGAATTGATAACGGTTGTGGAGCATGGAAGTTTGAGAATTGTAAGCTTGGGAATATGAACACCGAACGGAATGCAAAATGTCCACCATATATAGGATGAAGACTCAGACCAATAAATTTCTGAAAGCAGTTACGTCAAAAAGTAAGCAAGGGAGAAAAACAGGGTTCACATGACTATCTAAAGTTAAACTACCTTATTTCCTGCCATTGGTAGCGGAGGCCAACCCTCACCGCGAACTTGGAATGGTTGATAGTAATAAGCTGCGCCTGAAATCAAGCCCTTCTGCATTAAAGAGCAAATGATTGGTAGTGCAAAAATAACACGCCTTGTAAGGTCAAAGCTTATGTTTACTCAGACATGTAGTACTTACCGGCTACGTGTCCGCAGGTTTGCATTAGTATCTTCGGTTTACGACTTGGCCAAAGTGAATGATCATGCAAAAGCTCGTAGTCCATATTCATTGAGTCAAATTTCTAGGATCACCTCAATTATACTACCTGATGGAGTGAGCTGAAGCTGAATCTCACCTCACAAACAGGTTCAAGACGCGATTGGAGGAACTCCTGGATGGGAGAGCTTGACCGCCTCGCCGGGACCTGATGCTCGAGTGATGCCGCACTATAATCGAGCGCTCTTCAGGCTCTTAACATTTGAACAAGAACTAAGGAAACGTTAGTGAATCTGTTTACCAATAAAAAGAGAACGCAACTGCGCCGCTTCTCTAAACCCACCATACCCCAGTCGAAATAGCGCTCGCGCAGTGATTCCTTTCCTCAACAGGCCCATTAGATGAGTACAGGTGAGCAGAGAGAAAGTCGCTTGCTATCAGATTCATACTACCAACGGAAGGCAATAAGCAGAAGATCAGGCGGATTCAGGAAGAATGTGCTGCTAAGGATCTGGGATAAGGTACCCGATCGACGTTGGGACGTTGAGGTTGTCGAGCGTTTCCTGGAGACCGCACGTTCGAGTTGCCGATCAGTTCTCCGCCATTCCCTAGTTCGCCGAATCGCCAGATCGATACCTGTCCTTTTTTGGCACACATTTCCCCAAATATCGAATCGCCGATTCCCCAGTTCCCAAATACTTCAGTCGCAGAGCATGAACGTAGCTTTAGTCGCGCAGGCACCGTATACGCCTGCCCACCGAAAACCATTTAGACCCAATTTTCCCGGAAGATAAAAATGTCAGAACACTGTTATTTTATAAGTGCTGTCGGTTTGTCGGTCTGTATGTACGCCTTTCCGTGTACCAAATGCTTCCACAGTGTCATAAAGAAAGTGCTATCAGGCAACCAAAAAAGTTCGTGCGGTTTTGAAGGTAGCGAAATAATATAAAAAACGGGTTAAACTTAGATTTATTCCGAAAAATAATTACCCTCAGCAAGTAATACACTTTCCCATTTAGACACAAGAGCATATATTCCATTTTTGTAAAAATCTTGCTTTTGGGAATTAAAGAAATGTTTTAGTTCGTTGTCCAAAGCCACTTCATTTTCAAATCGCCGATTCCTCATGTGGTTGTCCAAGGCCAAAAACAGATGATAGTCACTTGGAGCAAGGTCTGGCGAGTACGGAGGGTGCTACTATGAGAAAGCGACAATCCAGCGTAATGTTGTAGATGTGACAACACTTTTCTCAGCCATAACAGACACCAAATCAGATTCAATCAGGTTTGCAATCACTCCATGAGTTGTTCGGTAGCTGAAGATGCACAGAGCGGAGGACGCATTGCAGCATGAAAGGGGTACGTGGCAGTGGATAGAAATTGGTTTGTGATAAAGAAACAAAAAAAACAGATGAAAACAGATGGCGGAAGATACACTACCTCTTTGAATTTCGTCTGAATCCATCTTTTGAACGAAACATCGAACATGTTCGGCGTACTTATTATCAGAACACAGACAGTATCAGGATC